TTCTTTTAAAATCTCTACTCATTTATATGTAATAAAGTATGATACTGTTGCCCTTCTGAGTAATTTTAATGGTTAAAGGAATAAAGAAGGATAAAGAATGTGTAGCGGATTGCTACTCTAGTAAAGCCTGACCGTCTCAGAAATCTCTGTGGCAGATCCTCCTACATCTAGCTAGACTCCCAGAACCAGCTAAGCTATAGCACAGCTATAAAGGAAACAGACGTGTAGCACGGCGCACGTTTATTCAGTACGAGTATTGCGGATAAAGTGTACACGCAGGGAGCTTAATCATGATCAGGATGGCGGATTAGGTTAAACAAACAGAGGTTAATGATTTGTCACTGTACGGTCGCACCTCCCAATCTTGGCGTGCAGGCATGCGATGACGTGTCCCACAAATGTACTTGAGCACGTGTTTAAATGAATCAATTAAGTAGGTTAACCATTTTAGGCAAATGGCTCACTTGCGGACACGCAATAATTCTGTGAGGAAGCTTACGTTTACAGCTTGGATTTAAATGCACCAGTTTCCGTGGAGATGGAATAGCACTGGGGTTTTTCAAAAGTTAGAATACAATCTCACAGCCTTTCTCTTTCGGGGAATAAAGCTTGATTCCGAGTGCACAATAGGTGCCCGCTAGACACACACGGAAGCATATATAAACTTATATGAGATATTTTACTTCTGTTTCATTATCCATAGGCGCTTATTCGGATGAGCGGTTATTTTGTTCCGAAAATAGTTTCATGAAATGGACTTTTCCGTTTAACCGCTCTGGGCGAATTTTCGGAACATCAAATTCACAAAAAGCCACAGATGTAAAAGAACACCAATTAATCATTTGAAAGAGATACCGGTGCTTGTTATGACTAATAAGAATGTATTTATGTATGTCGAATGGTAGGCTTTATGATAGTTATCATCAGCCCTTTAGTTGACTTCAGTCTTCACAGTGGGGAGGAACATCAAAATCACAAAAAGTTGAGGGGGAAAACAGAAAGGTGATTCACAGTCACAAAGGTGGAGAAGAAAGGTAAGGTGAGTGCAATGGAAGTGGTGGAATATGCCACAGCGTTGGGTCATGGTAGTTTAAAGTTAACTGTCGGTTTATGGACTTTTTGCATACGAGTGTACGCTGCTCTGGGGGCACCATGTGAACACATGTCAATCACGTGCCATAGTTTAGTTTGTAACTTGTTAATGTAAAGAATGGTAAGATGGTTCGAAAAATAATTTCTTTTATTGAAAGTGTGTGCAACTTTAACATACATATCGGAAATCCCTGATAACAACTTTAGTGTCGAGATAACTAGGTCCTTGATGTAATCAATGAGGACAGAATGATAAATTTCAATATGAAAGGTCGTGTGACAATTTCACCAAATTCCGGTCGTCAATAGAGCAGTTAAATTCTAGCAAGTAATAAAAAAGTGATTTTGTTAAAGCATTCAGTTTTTTGAGTGAGTTTCTGGCAGTAAGCTAGAAAATGGTAACTAAGTTCATTAACCTAAGCGTGAAATTCAAATACTACTTATTATGAAAAAATAACTCATCTTTGTCAGATTGAGGTCTGGCACATAACAAAGAAACACGAATTAAAATGAGCTTTCTACATGGAGAACGAGCATGATCCTCGAATGTTTACAATTGGTCATATTGAAATTTATATCTGGAGTAAAGGGGTGTGCGATAGACTTACCTCCACGTGGTGCACCCTGGGCAACGTATACTCATACGGCAAAAAAGTCTATAAACTGGCAGTTGACTTCTGACTTCAAACTACCATCACTCCACTGTATGTCATTTTCTACCCCTTTCACAGTACTCACCTCTCCTTTTTCCCCTACGTTTGTGTCTACGAATCACTCTTCTGTTCCAGTTCTCAACTTTCTGTGACTTTGGTGTTCCTCCCATCTGTAAACCCTGAAGTTAACTAGTCATCTAATGATAACTAGCATAAAGCCTGTCATTTGATATAAATTAATAAATAAGATTTACGCATTAATTATTCTTCATAGTAAGATAAGAATTCGACGACTTCCACAATACTCGTCTTACCTTTTTTCTCTACCTTTGAGTCTGTCTGTCGTTTTTGCATCTGTAATTCTATTCTTCTATTCCACCTCTCGACTTTTTCCAACTTTAATGTTCCTTCCCTTTGTGAAGCCCGAAGTCAGCTAAAGGGCTAATGGTGACTCTCAAAATGCCTGCCATTTGAAATAAATAAATAAATATCTAGAGTAAAAGTGAGAAAATAAAAGGCGTGCTATTGAAGCGTCATGAAACTCAATATGAGAAACAGAGTTTCATGAGAGTGTATGGAACCTGTGTGTGAAAATCGATGCTTAATATGGTTACGGCAAGCTTTTGTAGAAGAAGGGTGATATGTGCTGACTGCGTGCGCATTGCTGAACAAGTCAGGTATAAAAATAGCGTTACATTAAACCCTTCAAAATGATTGCGAAGTTCGCAAATAATTTAAGTTGCATATAATAATTCATTGTTAATGACTGCAAAATTAAATGAATTGGAAATATTGAGAAAATTTTAAAGGAAATAAGAAGGTAGTGTAGGACCTGTGGGACACGTTATCGCTCAACAATTGGTCATCTCTCATGTCATCTAGCTGGCTTAGACATGTGGGACACGTTATCGCTGTGTGCACCGTATGCCTGCATGTCTGCTCGCCAGGATTGGGAGGGGCGCCAACTCTGTGTGCAGCGACCGTACAAACAGTGGCCAATCACTAGGCCAGGATTGGGAGGTGCGGCCGTACAACTTTGTGTGCAGTTCGCCAGGATTGGGAGGTGCGCCGTATAACTCTGTGTGCAGCGATCGTACAAACAAAAAGAGGTGCGGCCGTACAACTCTGTGTGCAGCGACCGTACAGTGGCGCCAACTCTGTGTGCAGCGACCGTACAAACAGTGGCCAATCACTAGAACCTCGGGACAAGCCTTGTGGGACACGTCATCGCATGCCTGCACGCCAGGACTGGGAGATGCCAGGATTGGGAGGTGCGGCCGTACAACTTTGTGTGCAGTTCGCCAGGATTGGGAGGTGCGCCGTATAACTCTGTGTGCAGCGATCGTACAAGCAGGTGCGGCCTTACAACTCTGTGTGCAGCGACTGTACAAACAGTGATCATAAAGTAACCTCTGTTTAACCTAATCCCCCATCCTGATCATGAGTAGCTACCTGCGTGAACAAACTTGATCCGCAATATACGTACTGAGTAAACGTGTTCCTTGCTACACTTCTGTTTCCTTGATAACTGGGCTATAGCTTAGCATATTCATACGGCAAAAATGTATATTGACTGGCAGTTGACTTCTCACTTCAAACTACCAGCACCTCACTCTATGCCATATTCGACTATTCTCACAGTACTCACCTCACCTTTGTTCTACCTTTGTGCTTGTCTCTTACATCTTTGAAACACTCTTCTGTTACCCCCTCTCGATTTTTTTCAATTTGATGTTACTTCCTCTCTGTGAAGCCTGAAGTTAACTAAAGGGTTAATGATAACCATCAAGACGCCTGCCATTTGATAAAAATAAATTAATAAATTCAACTAAAAAAAGTTCATCTCGTTTACAGCCAGAAAAGGGTCACTTGGTTTGTGAAATACAAGACTTTAACAAATAAAATTAAAGGGAGTTTTCGCTGAACTTCAAAATCTCCCAAAGTATTTACTTAGTTGCTCTAATATTTTTTTAGAAAGGTGGCTTTTTGGAGAGAAAAGACAAAACGATCTGAACTGTAACTTTTCTGACTGTTGTCATGTTGCGACACCTTTAGAAAGCTCAATTTCACAGTATTCATTTGGAGCAAAATTACCTAAAATGGTTAGTAAAGTGTTTTCTTCACCGTAACCAATCAAGACTACAAAACAGTCGAGTCATTATGATGAGGCTATTTTGAAAGATAGGATTTTGGAGTGCTAAGGGTGGGGTTAATTCAGAAATTTTAGAAATCACTCTAGCTGCATTTTAATACACATTTCGCGTGGATCTGGGAAATCTATTCAATCTATCTTAGAATATTGCGGCTATCTTAAATTAATAATTAAAAAATCTTTTTTAGATGATAATTGTTTGGGGAGGGAGAGATTGCAAACAAATTCAACAAAGCCAGGACACCAGGAGACTTGGTTGGCTTGAATTATGGAAAAAAATGAGCAATCTTTATTAAAAATACGAAGTAGCTTAGTTTGTTTATTTATACCAAATAGCGGGCTTTATGATAGTTATCATTAGCCCTTTAGTTGGCTTCTGTCTTCACAACAAATTCGGCAAAAGTTGAGAAGGGTAAGAGATTGGCGATTCACAGATGTTAAATAGACAGTCATAAGGGTAGGGAAAAAGGTAAGGTGAGTACTGTGAAGTGTTCGCAGATGATATACAGGGGGATCATGGTAGTTTATGGACTTTTTTGTGTATGCTGCTCTTGGTGCATGTAAATCACGTGCCCCAATTTAGTTTGTAACAGAAAATTGTAACTTTTTAATGTAAAGAAGGGTTAGATGGTTCAAAGAATTATTTCTATTATTGAAAGTGTATGCAACTGTAACATATTACATACCTAACACATATATTCATATATATGTATGTACTCCTTTTAAGCTATGCCACATTCCATTTTTAATGTATTATTGTCAAAAGAGTATGAGTTGTTACATATACTTTATCCATAACTTGAGAAAAAGTTACAGAATCAGGTATTGTTTAACCTTCGTGCGCATTAAAGACAGCCCTACTTAAAATTGAATCGATAAGAGAGGCGGATAATAGGAGCTATCAGGCTAATTACAAATTGTCATATACGTTATACCCAGTATAAACAACTTGAAATGGCGATGTTATTTCGATTATTGTACTACGAGTCCTGACATCACTTCAGTATTCATAGAATGCTTTATTTAATACTCATCACGCATTTTCTACTCGTGTTTAAATTCGTAATTGAATGGTTTTTGATATGGCGCAATATTAGAATATTTCGCAAACAACGCTTTTCCACACACCACAAAAATCCCACCGGATTAGACCTTATTTATGGACACGTATATGGGTGGTGCATATGCATTTAATACCCCCTTCAATCATTTAAATCCGAATGCGAATTGAGTATATAAGGACACTTACCATGGGAAAAGAGTATTAGAACAATGAAATTGCTGCTAATCTGTAGTATTGTGGTCCTGTTCTGCGCATTAACCCCATCTGCTGTACCCACGGATAAGATTGAGGTGGAGAGGAATTGCAAAGCATCAGTTGAAAAGATAGTTGAATGGATGTTGATCTCGAATGCCTCGCATCCCGACAAATGGGTTTATCAATTGTCCAAAAGTCCCAACTGTGCTAAGTGTGACTTGATGATAAATGAGACAAAGTCCATTAAGCGGTGGCCCGAGAACTGTAATACCTGCATTGAGCCGCATAAGAAAACTGTGGAAAAGTGGAAGAGCTGTAATCAGTGCAGAAAATTGAATACTTTCTGCGACACTTGCAAGAAACACTTCTTCACCTCCATAAAGCAACTCAAAACGCAGTTGGACAAAAGTATTCGAGAGTATTCTAATTTAATTCATTATAAGTGATTGACACATTAGTACCTATTATCAGAGCTTATAATGAATTCACATTTATAAACTATTTTCACCTTGTATTGCTTATTGATGAATAAATATTCTGCCCTAATATATATATATTTAACTTTCGATGAATTTTTATTTAATTTTTTAAAGAAAAGCTTCTCTTTTTTGTTCATTTATTAAGTAAGTTCTGTCGTCAGATTCAAAGGCGTGGACATGTCAATGTTATTTGAAGCTCAATTTATTGGTAACTTTTTACAGTGACAAGGAAAAGTCCCATCAGATAATATTTCCTGGTTTGGTTTAAAGAAGGCGTATTTCTACAATCATCTTTGACAGAAGGGCAATATCTTGAAAGCATCCAGATGTGATACTCCTCCTGCAAAATTCCTTTACGAAGGTACACTAAGCTCTTCTAAGTTCCCAATTTAATTTATCCTTTTAATTGAGCCCTTAATGTTGGTCAAAATAATGTTAAACAGAATGGGGTTCGAAATATTAGCTCTAAAAATCAATATTGACCATTTGAGAACAAGATAGAGCTTAAAACCACATATTCTAATCCTTTGTCCCATGACCATACATCCATGTTTTTCAATTAGTATAGTCCAAGATTAAGTTATAATTAAGCGCGTATTTAATCAATACTAGATCCTATGTATACATTCCCTACGTATTTATAAAACTCTATTTTATTGCATGTTTTGAGTGTTAACAGTAGGAGTCCAACGAACCCTATCGTCTTTATTTTTAAAGTGGGGTGTGCGACAGACTTACCTCCACGTGGTGCATCCTGGGCACCATCTATTTATCGGCAATCGACTTCTGACTTCAAACTACCATGGCCCCATTGCTTGTCATATTCGACCCCTTGCATAGTACTCGTCTTACCTTTTTCACTCTATCTTTTTGTCTGTCTCTTTTACATCTTTGAAACATTCTTCTATCCCCCCCCCTCTCCACTTTTTTCCACTTTGATGTTCCCTCCCCTCTGTGAAGCCCGAAGTCAACTAAAGGACTAATGATAACTATCAATATGCCTGCCATTTGATATAAATAAATTACTTTTAAAGTCATGATGAGTGCATGATTAACTTACATGTAATCATTAATAATTTTCTTGAATTTAGTTCACTTAAAAGCTTCTAGTTTACCGACAGATTTTTTAAAGCGTTTTTCAAAGGGGCCTAGATTGCTCAAAAGGGTGCATTGCACAATTGTCAAAATGTTAAAATTGTTATGATTTGTGATCTGAAGATTGCGCTAGATTACGATACACCACAAGCAGTTGCTATAAAAGGAAGCATTTCTAGACGTACCTCACTGTCTCAAAAATGCGAACTGAGTACTTTGTTGTGGTGTGTGCTCTCTTTGTTGCTTGCGCAATTGCCAAACCTGAGACCAAACTTCAGGTGAGCAAGAGTTGTAAGTCTTCTGCACTGAGCCTACTAAACTGGCTTGTCGCAGAAACTATAACAGGCAAGGATGCTTGGGTTCTTCAAATGTACAACCACCTCAACTGCTCCAAGTGCCCTCTGTTTGCTGATAAAAAATTGGAAAAGTGGCCATCCAACTTCAAAGCTTGCACCAGCTTGTACTGGGATAACATTAAGCATTGGAAGAGCTGCAAATCTTGTGAAAATATGAATTGGTACTGCAACACTTGCAGAAAACACTTCACCGATGCGATGAAGGAGCATAAGAAGAAGATAGACAAGATTGTGGAAAAATATATTAATAAAATACAATTTGTGTAATTCATTGTGTTACCTCTATACTCCCTTTTGTAATTCTCGAGTAGATTAAAATTATATAATTTAACATAAATATGCCTTTTGCTTATCTTCTTGTTCTCTACGTCCTATTTTCATTTGTCACATTAAGTTATGACAGCAAATTTATCTATGTTTTCCGTTGGGGGTTTTAAAGTTTGAAAATTACGCCTAATTTACCGTTAATTGCAACCAATTTCTTGTCACTGCCATACCGGGATTCAGAGAAGTTGTGGGTCAACTTTCGTTGGAGTAGATGATTCATGCTAGGATTTCAGCTAACCATGGGAAAATAGGATTTGCATTGCAATTATGCTTTACTTGATGAATCATCAATAAATCCACTTAAATCAGGAACAGTACTTGTGGTATTCATGTTCTCGGTGTTGATAGACATGAAAATTTTCATTAAGACAGGGTGACCTGAGTATGATTTACTTTCACATGCATTCAAGGGCTTCTCATTTATCTTTCTACGCAACTTTGATCGATAATACATACTATGAATCAATGAATAATAATTCTCAATTGCTCTTCTGGTTTCTCAATAGATCACTTACAATGCAGAGATTAAAGAGTGAAATCTTAAATCCCTTTAAGATCAATGACTTAAAACAATAGTGTGACACTGATCCCTTTAGTAAAGCTCCTCTTAGTGCCAATCCATTTAAAAAATAATGGTCTATCTTATGAAAGGTACGATAAAACAACTTCTTCTGAGATTAGAAGACCAATAGTTGAATTTGATCATTCATGTATTGGATAATGATCGAAGAAGTGAAATTGGAAAGCATCATGGAGTTATGAAGCAAAATTTTCTGAATGTTAAAGAGGTTTCTCGAAACGCGATGCTCGGAGCCAATATATCTTCATTATATTTTGGATCCTCGCTAGAATTTGATTTTAATCGCTACTGATTTCCCAATCCCAGCAGGCTAATGTTTTGTAATTTTTAAGTGCATTTCCCAGTGAAACGCTAGCATGCTGCGTAATAATTCAACTTGATAATTTATTTATTTTAAATGGAATTATTTAATAGTTTGTTTAAATGAGTGATATTATTCAATCATATACATAACCCCTTGTTTAGATTCATTTATTATTCTGTTCGCATAACTAAAGGTCAAAATTTTTTTCAAACTGATATCGTCAGTCTATTGGTGTCTCACCTTTGTGTCGTGACAATGGCCCTAATCACAAAATTTAATCACTCTTTATAGAAGTATGCTTTTAGAATACAGGATCGAATATCCTCATCGAACTCATGAAGTTTGCTCTACGTGTGCGATGAATTGTCGATGATTTGATTTATGCGTTCGCACTTGAATATGTGAATCAACCATTTTTACCATACAAGTGTGCCTGACAAGGATAATTTTGAAATGATTCATTTATTTATGGCTATCGTAGTCCAGAAGTCCAATTTAGTATCAGTATGCTTTCAGGAGCTGGTAGCATCTTTTTTATTGACATCATGAAATGCCACATCAATTATCTTTATCTTGTGGGAAATGATTTTGAATAATCATATTTCTATTACTCAACTTATTCTTTTAATATTGACAATATGATCATTCACATAGGTGTGCCAAAAGACTAATTAAAACTGACATTCATCGGGTCTTTGATTTCAAGTACCTGAAAAGATTAACTTATGAGTATTAATTTGAAAATTCTCATACTAAATAATGATGGTCTTATTTGAGAATCTCAAACCAACTCGTAATTATGTGCTATATATATTTTGTCATAAGTGAACACGGTTTACGGAACTCTGCTAACTTAATTTGAAGTTACCAGAAAGTGACCAATAAGAATTTGGCATAGATAACAAGATTTCTCCGTGATCCAGAGGACGAATTGTGGGACAGGGATCATGAAACGTGATCTACCTACTCACTAAATATTGCCCATATCATTTTACTATTTTGGCTAGCTAAAGACAACTCAGAGAGTGAGAGAATCACCACCACATAGTATTTTAACTTAACTAAGCGTTAACATTCCTCATAAAAGGAGAGAGGGTGAATCTAAAAAAAAGCATTTACTTCAAATTTCTATTAAGAAGTCATGATTGCTGAACACCAACCAAAAATGACCCAAAAATGTTAAAGGTCACAGCTTCACCCACCATTGAACCTATATGGAAATCCCGATTAGGAACTTAAATCCCCAAATCTACCTTTCCACTCCCCTATTTAAAACAAATATTTTTGGAAACCAAGTACCCCCTCCTCAAAAATCATCATTTATTTTATTGGTTTTAAAAGAGGATTATAAAATTATTGGTTCACTTTTTAAATTTATTGTTTTAATAAAGAGATGTTTCACCCTGTACTCACTCCTTTTATATGTTTTCGCTTTCCTGATGTGCACTTCTAGACAATTATTATAAAGTTCAAGACTGCTCAATGCAAGACAATAACGGGCATGACAATATAATACAATACAATACAATTCGTGTCCTCCAAATTATCTTTAAATAGGGAGTGCGATAGATTTACCTCCACGTGGGCAACATATACTCATACGGCTAAAAAGTCAATTAACCGGCAGTTGACTTCTGACTTCAAACTACAATAGCCCCATTGCACGTCATATTCTACAACTTTCACAGCACTCATCTTACCTTTATTCTCTACCTTTGTGTCTGTCTCATTTACATTTTTGAAACACTCTTCTGTACACCCCACCCCTTCCCGACTTTTTCCACTTTGATGTTCCTTCCCCTCTGTGAAGCCTGAAGTCAACTAAAAGGCTAATGATAACTATCTAAACGTCTGCCATTTGAAATAAATAACTATTATCTTTAAGTAAATAGACATTTAATTCAAAAACTCTCTTAAGTCATTTTATATTTGAAAGCAATACAGAGAACGCATTCCTAATGAACCTGGCAATGAAAAAATAAACCGTTTGTCTACTCATGTGCTATTATGAAACTCAGCTTCTATCGACAAATTTGATATTATTACAAGCTTTTATTTACTCACAAGATATCATTACTTGATGTATCAGAAACCCAAACCATTGGGAGCATCGAACATCTTTATATCCTCAATTTAAGGGAACCTATTTATTACCACTCACTCTAATAGTTTGTTCGGGTTCAGGTGCTCTTGGTGAGTAATTATTACTTGACATTACAGAGTTTATTTTCAAATCTTTGCAAAAAAATGATACAGGTTATACTGATTTAATTAGAGTAGCGAAAATATTACCAGTATTAAGGCTAATAAGTGCATTTTTATAAAGCTTGAAATGTGAGCATAGGATAAGTTTCGTTGTTTTTAATGATATCATAGAAAAGCCAGAGGACTACAAGGCCAGAAGTTGGAGGTTGCAAATAGGTAGGAGCTCATTGAAGAACTTGACTGCTGGGGTTGACAGATAGGATTTGGAGAAGAGAGGAAAGAGTAGAAATGTGGTAGAAACTGGAACAGTCTGATTGGAGGTTTTGAGGCCGATTTGATCGGGATATGCACAAATAAAGCGTGGAGAGACGACTGAGATAGTGAAATGGCGGTTGAGAATCCTTCTCATAAGGTAAGAATAAAAGCCTGGCCATTTGGAATTCGCATAGGGTGGAGCAATGATTGATAACCTTTGGAGTCGCCAAAGTAACCTCGATGGACGTGTCGATGTAAGTAAAATAAAGAGACATTTTTGCCAACTATTAGGCCATCAGTGATCATTTTCTCAGACCATATAAACGGTCAGTCATGAATCGAATCGAATTATATTTCTTAACCAAAGGAATTGACAAAATGAACCCAGGTCAGTCCAAATAAGGAAGGGAAAAGAAGTGAGTGATGAAGTGTGGCCAGTGCCCAGTGAGTAAATGACCTTATCTTACACAAGCTATACGCGTCATTAACCATTCAAATCGACAACAAGCCGATATGTTAGAAGTACAATAGGGTGTAAAGAGGGGAAGGTACTGGAGAGGTATATCAGTCAAAAATTCTCAACAGGACAGTACAACTCAGTGAGCTCTAAGCCAAGAAGCGAATTTTCAAGTAAAAATAACAATACCATGGAATTTCCATCTGCATACACCATTCCAAAATCTCAAACTATTTGCACATTTTCTCAGGTCATCACTGGAAAAATTGTTGTTTTTTTAATAGTTCAACTTTGATACGCTGCTATTATTAATTGAATTGATGTTCCCTGACTAAACAGCAATGTTAAATCAATGAAAAATGTTTATTAGAGCAAAATTTACTTCTACAGGCCGTATCGAGACCGACTCCACAGAAGTTGTAGCTAGAAAGAACGGAGGAATAAAATATGTGGTTGGTCAGCTCCTAGT